TTTTTTAAAATAATAGTAATTATTAGTTTTGTTGTTGTTGAGAATCTACACAGCAAAACACACCAATTCAACAGTTCCTATGTGTAAAATTCAGTGAGTTGTACAAACATTCTTACCCTCCTTTTCTGAGCGGTTCTGAGTTGTTTCTCCCCGTCCTCCATTAACGTATCTCACCCTAAGGTTCCTATCTAACCGTTGGAGTTGCTGCTGATTTGTTATTTAAATTTTTCTGAATGTAGTTCAGGTATATCCTGTGGTTAAAACGGCCCACTATTTTTCAAAGAGACAAAAATGTCACTTTGATTTTTACTTTCAAACCCTCAATCTAAGGGAAAAAGATGAAGAAAAAAAAAAGAAACATATAAGCGGTTAATATGTTTTACTGCTTTTCTATTTTCTCAATGTTTGGGCCTATTCTTGTTGATTTTTTACAAAGATTCATTCTCTAAGGTGCAAGATTGGTGTGGTTAGTGCAAGCATATTTTGGAAGAAAAGTTAAAACCAAAACTACTGAATGACTTTAGTGGAAGACTTTTCCCAAACTAAATACAGAGATACAAATGTTCTCCTTATGTTAGTACAAAGGTAAATCACCCTTTTGTCTACCTTTATGGTGTGATTTTTACCTGTTGGTGAACTTGCTGTAGATAGAATTGACTGTTCTATCTACATATTTCTATTGTTTTTCTTCTCTTAAAAATATATCCTTGTGAGAGCAAATTCTTATTACTTCTTTAAACATACTGAGTACCATTTATCAGGGAGAGCTACCTTTTGAGGTGTATTTCCCAAGTAGATTACTAGGGAGTAAGGAGCTTAAAACTATCCCTTCCCCTTTCCATTCTCCCCTCTTTTTCCTGCAAATCCTCCATTTGTCTATTTGGTTTAATGGGTTCATTGTTATAGGGATTGTGCTCAATTAAATTTTGGTATCTTTTTTTTTTCCAGGCTGCTTTCTCATAGACATAAACATCAGTTTTTGACTGTTTAAAAACGAGAAATCACTTAAAATCCTCTCAAACACCAAATTCCAAAGAAGTGATAACATTTCTCTCAAGGAAAGAAGTGACTGACTACTGGCATTGATCTATTTTTTCTTCTCTAAATTTGAAGAACAGCAATGGAGAAATGGTACCTGATGCCTGTGGTAGTCTTAATAGGACTAACAGTACGGTGGACAGTTTCTCTTAATTCTTATTCAGGTAATATATTTTTACTGCTTAAAAGATAAGTAAATATTTCTTTGAATAAAGGTTTTTTTTTTAGGGGAGGGTTTAATAGTTTACAGTATTTTGACTGGGACAGAGAAGAATTTCAGGCTTTATCTGTGTGATCAAGAAAATACATTTAAACTTCTAATCCCGGTAAGAATACGTATAGAAGAGGTAAATAGAAGCATGGGCTTTGTGTTGTGAGAAAACAAAAATGTATTCTAGCTGAGAAAATGATGGATTGAGAAGCAATTATGTATCAGGCAGTAAAGAGAGAGAAATGAGGTAGTACTTCAAGGGAGAAGCAGAGTCAAAGGAGCCTTTTTTGCTTACGGTAGAGAAGGCATAATACTAGATTACACTGAAAGGAAAAGAGCATTAGAGAAGAAGAGATTGGGAATGTTATGAGAGAGGGGAAAATTGATGATGTGTGGTCCAGAGACTGTGGAGATGGGATTAAATTTAACACTGCAAATGTTTGTTTAGCATTTCTTATATTCTAGGCTATGAGTTGGAATCGACTTGACGGCAGTGGTTTTCGTTGTTGAGGTTATATTCCAGGCAGGAGCCCTGGTGGCACAGTGGTTAAAGCACTCATCTATAACCAGAAGGTCGGCGGTTCAAACCCACCAGCTGTTCTACGGAAGAAAGATGTGGCAGTCTGCCCTTGTAAAGATTTACAGCCTTGGAAACCCAGTGGGGCAGTTCTACACCAAAAACCTGTTGCCGTTGAGTCGATTGCAACTCAGAGACCCTATAGGACAGAGTAGAACTGCCCCATAGGATTTCCAGGGAGCATCCGGTGGATTTGAACTGCCAACCTTTTGGTTAGCAGCCAAGTTCTTAACCACTGCACCACCAGGGCTCCGCTGGATGACAACGGGTTTGTTTTTGTTTGTATATTCTAGGCACTATGCTAGATGGTAGGTGAATATCCAATACTTAAGAAACCCACATTTTAGAGGGAAAGTGGTCACACTACAATGTAGAAGTATGTGTGAGGTACAGACATAACATACAAAAGTGAATGATCTGGACATATTAGAGGAGGTTTTCCAGGGAGGTGATGTTTGAGTTCATGTTTAAAGGATGAGTTGGAATTAGCTATGCAGGTGAAATGGAGGAAGGTATTTTAGACAGCAGGAACGTGGCATGAGAGGGCATGGTTATTATAAATATTGAGTGTTGGATTAGCGTAAAAAGAACAAAAAGGAGGGAGGGAGTGGCTAGAGATTTGGCTTTACAATTAGCTAGGCCAATAATTTTTGAGTTTTAGAAAAATGTGTTTTATTGTAGTGAAAAATAAATTGTAGGAAAAAGAGGTTGGAGGTAAAGAGACCAATTAGGAGACCATAATAATAATAGAAGTAAGAGCTATTATTAGTATTTACCATATGCTGGATACTAAGTATTTTCTTTAATACTTACCACAGCCGTTGAAGATAGGTAATCATCTCTCATTTATAAATGGGAAATGAGACAGCTTATAAATGGCAACTGGAATTAAAATTTGACTTAAAAGTCAGTGGTTTTATGACTCTGCTCTGCTCTGTGGCTGCTCAGAAAGAAGAAAGCCTGAACTAAGGCAATTATAAGATAAGGAAATGAATTCGAAGAATGTTAAGGAAATAAAGTCACTTGGAAGCAGCAGTAGACTTGGGTTCAAACCTTAGTTTTTTCACCTGATCTTAGGGGAAGTTACTTTATCTCTCTGAGCCTCAGGTACCTCTTCTACAAAATGAGGATATTAACACATATTTTAATAGGGTAATTGTGAGGATTAATTGCGATAATGTATATGAACTATTTTCTTTTTAATGGTGTATGAATATAATCAGCACGTTTATGGTTCATAGCTGTTATCTCATTTGATCCTCATATCAGATCGTTTAACCTCAAAATATTTATTGTCTGCTGTCCCATAGGCACTGTTCTGGTCTTTAGGGTGACCAAGAATAATAAATGATATCTTCTCTAGAAAAGTTCACAGTCTAGTGGGTAGAGTGGACATATAAATATAACTATATAGTACATTAAAATACAGTGCAGTATGAACAAAGTAGGAACTCTGGTGGTTTGTGGATAAGTACTTGGGTGCTAACCGAAAAGTTGGCAGTTTGAACCCGTCAGCCGCTCTGTGGGAGGAAGATGTAGCAGTCTGCTTCCATAAAGATTTACAGCCTTAGAAACCCTATGGGGCAGTTCTAATCTGTCCTATAGTGTCACTAGGAGTTGGAAACAACCTGACGGCAATGGGTATGAACGAAGTAGACTGGGAACAGAAGGGGGAGACTACTAATTCAGATGAAGAAGACTTAGAGTATTACATTTAAGTTTGTTCTGAAAGGGAGAGAAGGATTTTACTAGGCAGAAAAGGGGAGTGAGGATACTGTTCCAGTAAGAGGGAATAGCATGAACAAAGACCATAACTTTTGAGAAATAGTGAAGATTTAAGTGTGACAGAAATACAGAGTGCATGATAAGATGCACTGGTGGGAGATGACTCTCCCCTCCCCACCAAAAAACCCCTTTGCCATCGAGTTGATTCCGACTCATAGCGACCCTATAGGACAGAGTTAGAATTGCCCCATAGGGTTTCCAAGGAGCAGCTAGTAGATTCAAAACTGCTGACCTTTTGGTTAGCAGTCATAGCTTACGGTAGCTCTTAACTACTGTGCCACCAGGGCTCTGGTAGGAGATGAGATGGTAGAAATCAATTGGGGCCACACTGTGAGTCAAACTAACATGTGAGGGTTTTATCCTTTGGGCAGAGGAGTTCTTTAAGGGGAGAGGTCACAGAGAGGCTTTATTCGTGTGATCAAAAGAATACATTTAAACTTCTAATCCCAATAAAGGGACATATATAAGAGCTAAATAAATGTATTTCTTAAGAGGACAGCTCTAGAGACACCAAGGCATTTAGAGGAGATGAGGAGAAATTAATGGCTGGAAGGCCACACTTGTGCATCTATGTGCAGTGACTACCGTATGTTTATGCAAATAACACACACCTTCTGCATCTGTGCTAATTTTTCTTACAGCAACATGTGGAAGAGGATTGTCATGGTGACGCTTGTGAGGATGCCTTGCGGGGGTCAGGGGGAGGAGGGTGCAGCCGGCAAACAAATGCAGAAGGCATGTGTTATTTGTGTAAAAATAAGGTATAGATAAATTTATGAATAAGGTTTATCTGAGGTGTTGTTAGCACATAGCTGATTGCAATGGTCTAGGCAAGGGATATTGTAGGCCTGCACTAAGTGGCTAAATTTGAGAGCCATAATTGAGTTAAAATCAATCAAGTTTAAGGACAGATTGTATGTGAGGATAAATAAAAGGGAGAAGTTTGAGAATGATTCTCATTTCTAGTTCTGAGACTAGATACTAGTCTGAATTCTAGATGTTGAGACTGAAAACCTAGAAGTAAAACAGATTTCACTGGGGAAGGTAATAAATTCCATTTTGGATGTGTTAAGATTTAGGAGCATTTTAGTCATATAAAAAGGGGTAAGTTTGGAGAGATGGAGTTTGGTCAGGGGGCACGGGAACACATAAATCCATCTTCAGCTAGTCACAGAGAACACTTTACTGCTAGAGGTGGGCTCTGGCTTCATACTCCAGTGCAGCTCTCTGGTGAGCTAGATTGGACCAACTGCAGAACTCCTTTTTTTCCTTGTGAAATCAGCTCGACAACACCTAACAACAACAACAGAACCAAAGCAGGCAGGCTCCACTTTGCCCGATTCTCTTAAGCTCACGCCTAACCTCAGATAGAGCAAAGCAAGGGCAGGTGATGATCCAAAAAGTGTTTACCGCAATTCCGAGAGCAAACTTTTCAGGCTTTTCTAGTGTTGGTGCATTTCCCAAGTGGGAGGGTTCCTGTTGCTCCACATCCTTTGGGACATTTGGTAGGGTTAAACATTTCAGTGTTTACCAGTCTGGAATGCGTGAAATGATATTTCATTGTGGTTTTAATTTGAATTTCCTTCATTTTCAATAGGATTGAGCGTATTTTCATGTTTATTGGTCACTTGAATTTCCTTTTCTGTGAAATATTTGTATCATCTGTATATTTTCTGTTGTTTTTTTCTTACATATTCTGTATTTTGGATTTTTTCCTACATGTTCTGTATTCTGGAAACTAACCTATATTCAAGTTACGTATGTCTTCTGCCAGTTTGTGGCTTGTTTTTTACACTCTAAGTTGTCTTGATGAACCAAAGTTGTTACTTTAAAATATTCAAATTTGTCAATCTTTTTCCTTTATGATTTGTGCTTTTTGTATCTTTAAGAAATCCTCCCCTACTCCCAGGCCACAAAGATATTTTTCTACACTGTTCTTCTCTAAGTTTTAAAATTTGTTTTTTCTATGTAAGTTCTTATCTCGTTAGCATTGATTTTTGTGTGTAGTGTGTGAGAGAGGGATCCATTTTAATTTTTTTGCACATTGATAATCAGTTGCTTCAGCCCATTAATCTTCAATACAAGCTGTCTATATCAGTTTTTCATATGTGTGTGAGTCTGTTTTTGGATTCTTTATTTTGATCCATTTGTCCAATACTGCTATGTCTTATTACTATAAGTTTATATTAAGCCTTGATATGTGGTAGGGCAGGTTCTCCCACCTGTTAGTTCTGCTTCAGGAATGTCTTTGCTATCTTGGGTTTTGCTCTTTCATATTATAGTAGGCAGAATTTCTAAAGTGGCCCCCCAAAGATGTCCCACCTTTGTCCCCAGATCCTGTAATTATGATGAGACTTCATACCCATGATTATGTTATGTTATATGACACCAAGAAAACCAAACCCATTGCCATTGAGTTGATTCCAACTCATAGCAACCCTGTAGAACAGGGTAGAACTGCCCCATAGGGTTTCCAAAGAGCGCCTGGTGGATTCGAACTGCCGACCTTTTGGTTAGCAGCCGAATGCTTAACTGCTACACCACCAGGGTTTCCTTACATGACACGGATGACTTTAAAAGATAGATTGTGT